TTCTGTTGCTTCAACTCTCGTCTTCATCTGTGAAGAGATTGTGCAGCATACACTGTCATATAAGGAAGATTGATATTACATAACTGTTCAGTTTTTTCTCTTTCTTAATACTTTACTTAGCTTTTGGAAGGCATCATTTTCTATCCCAATGCTCCTTCAGATTTCTATATCATACTTTCTGTCCTCTGTTAATACAATTCCTAGATATTTAAATTGTTTCACCTTTTTGATTTTGGTATCCTCAATTTGTAATTTGTATATTGGGCTGTTCCTTTTTCAACAACTACACATTCAGTCTTATTGCAACTGATGTTTAGTCCTTTCTTCTTGTTTTCCTTCACTACCTTCTGTAAAAGTTCATGTAGTTTCTTTTCTCTATTTGCTATCAACACCATGTCATCTGCATATCTTATATTGTTAAAACTGTAGCCACTAATAGTGAATCCTGGTAAGACATGTAGTTAATGAAAATACAGAGAATACCTTAATAAATAATAAGTTCCAAAAAATTTGTTAATAAATAATAATATGTTTAATAAATAATAATATGTTTAATAAATAAATAAAAATAATAATATAGCAAAAAAAATGGCTGCAATTAGCATGTTTATTGCAGTAGACAATGGAATTAGATGACAAGTATTCAGGAGTGTCTCATGCAAATGACTTTGCTATACATAATCGGTGCAAGAGACAGTTCCTTATTCTGCTGATGGACTTTCTGATGTTCCAAGTGTGCTCATGTACTCATGGTATGAATTACATTCTGAATTCACAACTGTCAGGTGTTTTGTTAGGACTGAAGTTTAAATCATGGCAGTTTGAGGCTTATGTTGGCAATGATTCCGGCAATCTTTTAAAAACATATAAATTCAAAAACATGTATGCAGCCTTGTGGTTGATGACTTATTTTACAGATTAGTGTCCCTTTCCTACAAACACAACATTACTACTTTATCACTACTTCCATGGCAAATGTTCTGACAAGCTCGATTTTTTAGTTCTACCAGCACAGGCCTTTTTGCCCAACAACACAAATTGCTATAAAACCAAAACATCAAACTGAAAACTCAAGTCAATCCTTAAATAACCTCATCAGATTGAGATTTCCATATGAATGTCATGTATTATATCACCAAACTTGAGAAAAATACAAACTATCTGCTGTATAATATTTCTCAGGTCAATGGTTTAAAATAGTTTTGAGTGAATTTTAACCCTGTAGGATTTTATTTCTTTGACCTTTATGGACTGGAACCACAGAATTATAAACAAAGAACTGCACCAAATAACATGAAACAACAGTACATTACAGTCTATGGAATTAGTAAATACTAAACACTTCAGATACTTCGGCATATGGGTAAGTTATAACGAATTAAGTATAGGAGAAAAAAAACTTGAAAATAAAATAGGCTGTGCTAGAAGTAGTTTCACCCAATACCACAAATTGCTACAAAACCAAAACATCAACCTGAAAACTCAAGTCATGTTCCTAAATAGCTTCATCAGATATCAATGCCATGCTTGAGATCAAACCCATTCACAAATATTTAAACTGTCAGCTGCACGAAACTGCTTTCTAAGATCAATGGTGAACAGGAATTAAGAAGACAGAAGATAATGATTGACATTGCATTTAAATTTTTGAACATTAAAATTGTCTGGAAAGCAAAAAGGTAGAAGAGTTCCATAAGTGAGAAGTGAATGAGAACTACATCCAACCAATTCAACTGTAAAATGATGAAACATTGCTGTCAATTTAGTACAGTGCTTAAATTCATATAGTCTATATATCAAAAAGGAAAGCAATATTTATTTTGTAAAATACAAAAATGTATGCACAAGGTCAAATGTGGGGGATGAGGAAGACTGGTTTTATTTTCTCTTAAAATTAAACTTAGCTAGCTACAGTTACTGACCCAAATGTACCACAGTATTGCTTACACCAAAACAATGCATTCTTACTTACCATTCTTATTACAGCCACCATAATATCTCAGTATCTATGGAAAAAAAGGAAAAGCTCATCAGAAGAATTTCTATGAAAATATTTATAGAAAAGGTTGTTTTATGGTGGTGAGAAAGTGACTGAAGCCGAGATGTCAGGTCAGGAATCTGCCATTGCAGATTTTTTTTGTAATTTATCAAGAATCTCTAATTATATTGCAAAAGCACTATAACAGATGTGGCAGCAATATTCAGTATATGGATAAATGATAGACTTATAAATGTGCAAGATAAATTCTGGCAATTTATAGAGAGTGGCACCATCTATATTGTCATGGAATTTGGAAAACCTAATTAGAAATCCAGAATAAATGTTTGATGAACCATATTCCCTGGCTGTTCAAAACAACATAAATTTTGATGACAACTAAGGCTTAATTATGAATTTCATGACAGACATTGTTCTTCTATGTGCCATATTCTGTCATGGCTCTCCACAATTTCCTGTCCTTTGTAACTCTTAATAAATTTTTCTTTTGGTTATCTCCTCCAAACTTTTTATTCTGCTCGAACTCACTAGGTAGGTTATGCATTGTTTTTTTCTATCAATCCTGCCTTCAACCGCTCCTGTGAGAATAAAATTTTCCAAACCGTCTGTTCTCATTATGTGCGCTAGAAATTTCAACTCTTTCTGATGTTAAGTATAAGTGTCCCTTTTTTTTCCATTTTCTCTAAAACTTAGTTGCTGCTCATATGTTCAGTCCATTATATTCTCATCATCCTCAGAAATAATCAGCATCCTTCTACAGAAGGATGATGATTACTCAACTGAATAAATGAGCTGAACAATCATTCTAGCAAGTATATTTTTGTTCTTGAAAATTATAATACTGAAATGTTATGAATGCAAAAATATCATACAACTTTGTTGCACATTATATATGAAAATCTGATTCGATCAATATTTTCTCAGAATTTATTGAGTTTATCATAAAGACATGAAACAAGTTTTAATTGACTGAAGCAAGGTGATTGTATTGTACAGAGTGAATTGACAGCCAAAATACAGATGAATCATATAATGAAAGAAAAAGGTTGAACAGGTCCTTAATTTTAAAAGCCTAAGAACAATACAATGACTGCAAATATCAGACAATGAAGTATTTATAATGGCTGCTTATTTAGAATATACATCATAATAAAAGAACACAAAAGCCTTTTAGACTTGTTTGTTTCATTGGCACTGGAAATTTCTATTGATCATGTTATGATTCTTTGTTAGTATACAGAGTAGCAAATCATTTTTCTTTTACAATTTGGCATAATTACAACAACAGATCTATATCACAACCAGAGGTACTGTGTAGGCATGGAGTTATTAAATTTTTGGCCCTTTCAATCAAATTACATGCTGGCTAGAGTGACTTAGCTCCATTCATTTCTGATCAGGCAATACCGTCAATGATTTCTTTTACCCCATTTGAAGAGCACTGGACCCTGAAAGAAAGAATTAACTCAAAAGACTTTTAGCATCTAAATAAAATGCACTGGAACATACTTTCTAAAAAAGAATTTATTTTTAAAGGAGGTAAATTCTAAAATTTCTTTATTTGAAGTCTTACTGCTCTTGTTAAAACTTTTAAAATGATTTTAATTACATTATTGAACAATTTCTGACTACTGCAAGTGAAAGAGAAACAATATTCTTTTCTTTATTTATGGTAAAATTACTTCCTGTATTATTGTTCACAATAAAAGAATAATTGTGAGTAAGTCTTTGTTCCCCTACCCCAGTCAATGTTATTTTTTTAAAAAAATGAGAGAGAGAGTGAGAGAGAGAGAGAGAGAGAGAGAGAGAGTGAGAGAGAGAGAGAGGTGGGAGAGACTAATATAACTATATACAATTGCTTAGTTTTACTAGCATGGCAGTATTACCAACCATCCTCTGCACCTAGTATGACCAACTGAACTTAGACATGACTGAATGACCCTAGATATGACCGAGCAGGTTCAGCTTCTGGTTTGACTAACTGACCTGCAAAGAGGAATGAGCACCCGGAAATGACCTAAGACATGAACAGATGACCTTCAGCTATGATCAATAATAAATCACCAGATCAGTGTATAATTATTTCATGGACATGTTTACAAATGCTTGCACACACACACACACACACACACACACACACGCACACACACACATCAAATTTTATTATGCAAGGTTCATAATTTCACAATATAATTGGTATTATTAACTAATATGTAAAATATATGATGTAATTATTTAGCTCTGTCCTTATTAAATATATTGATAATAAAATGTTTCTCTTGGTATCAAATTTTATTATTCAAACAAACAACATAAATCCAAAAGAACCATCTATTTCATTGACAAAATATTCTATATATCTTTCCTTTTTTTTTTTAATTGATTTCAACCCAAATAAGTCAGTAAAGCCACTAAGATACAAGGGGTTACTGGGTGTGGAAGAATTAGTAACTGAAACATTAATAATGAACAGGAAGAGAAAAGAATAATCAGGAGGACAGTAGATAGTGATTGACTTTGCATTAAAATTTTTGGAGATTGTTGGCTGGAAAGCATAGAGCCAGAAGTGGGTTCCACAAGTGAGAAGTGCAAGAAAAGGAACTGTTAGCATAGAATTTACAGCTACATCTAGTCAGCTCAACTGTAAATTGATGAGTACTGTGCTTAACTTCAAAAAAGCCTAGGTACCATAGTGCAGAGCTCATCCAAACAATTACCATGAAATTATTTATAGAAAAGACACAGGGAGGCAACCTCGCAATGGTGGGAAAGTGACTGAAGCCGAGCAGCCAGACCAGGACTGAATAAATTGTTATATGTAACATGTTAATCTGAGCTCCTTGATATTCTATAACTTACATCAATCTTTCAACCATTAATTCTCTTAAATTCTTTATCAATTTCAAATTAAAGATGCAGAAGTTTCTATTTATCTTTCATTAAATATTGTTTTCATTAACTTTGCAGAATGTGATGGAGAATTGCCTTACACGGTTTACAGCCATATCACAAAACACCGATTCTTATATGATCACCAAAGTTAAGCAACATTGAGCATGGTCACTACCTAGATGGGTGACCACTTGGAAATACCAGGTGCTGTAAGCTTAGATGTGTGGGTGGTGTAATAGCTTGGAATTGTTATTTAGAGAGTCCAGTTTCTATTTCACTTGAGTTTCTTGTATTCATTTATGCGCAAATACCTTGAGAAAGGCATGAATCCACCTCTTCTTCCCCCAGTTAGTGGTTAATTAGTAAGTAGTTTCTATCACCAAAACATTATTATTCTCGAAAAATAAATTCTTACAATCTAAAACCATTTTATGGCTTTAAATAATCTGCAAAATGTTGATAAGCTGTAAAAAATGAATCAACCAATTGTCTTGCATGAATAATTACTTTTTAGGTGATATTGTTATTAAGTAAAAAATATAATTATTAATCATAAATGGAAAAGCTTAGTACAATTCATTGAACACCAATATTTTAAAAAGCATTTTGAAATTTTCTTTTATGCATATGAACATGCCAATTTTTGTAAATACAGACAACCATACACAACATTATCAGAAAGTAAGAGTGACAACTATAGTAAATTTAAAACCAAAGTACCTACAATTTAATATAACATTAGAATATTTTCTTAAATTTTTAAGATTACTAAGTAGTTAAAAATTATATAACAAAGATTCTCACATTATATTCTTAAATTAAATTTTATACATATATCGAATGTAGAAAAAATTAGATAAACTACAATCTGTCATTCAAGCAGTCAAACTGTCAACACCTAAAATAAACAATTACTGCTATATTAAAAATGCATTTCTGCAATATTTTAAACTTAAAATAAGTAATATTTGATTCAAATCAGATTAATTAAACTTTAAATCAGCTAATATTCCTAAAATAAAATTTCAAGAAGGTATATTTTATTTTTGAAAAATTTTTAATAAAGAGAATTACATTGCAATGGCAGAAAGCTAAAAATGCTGCTAAAATCAGTTAATGTTATTGATTTCAAAATGAAAATTCCTTCCAGTCAATTTAAATTAGTTTTTAAATACAGCAAAGTATTTTGCTTAATGGAAATATTAAATTTAATCTATTAGCTTGAAATTAAAACTAAAATAAAAGCTCCAAGAAAGATTTTTTCATTTTCAAAAATTCATTTTAAACCTTAGGTATCATGAATATGTGGAGGTACCTATATGAATATATTTAACTTAAAGCTTCTTGGTTGTGACTTGTATCACTCAAAAATGTCTTGTCCAAGAACTTACAATAATTCTCTGCATTTATCTTGATGCCATCATCAACTTTGATAGGAGATATTATACTACTATACTACTGTCTTTAATATAATGGCTGTGTGTAATGGTGCAATGGATATCAGCTATTGAAATGAGAAATCAGAGAGCCAAGTTCAAATTCCAGTTGGATTCATTACTTTCACTTACATACCCTTGGAAAAGGTATGATTCAAATTCCTCTCTCTCCAGCTATGGGTTAAATAGCAGGGCAGATTGGATCCTATAGTCTTAGTTGCCAACCAGTTTACCACAGAAAGAGACAGCAGCCTACTGTGGAAAATCTTCTGGCTAGTCAATCATGAATCAAAAAAGACATAATATAATACTCCTGTTGCCTTCTAAATCATGTTGATTGTTTATTTCCCTGAAGGATCCAACCTCTAACCCAACCATCAGGCTTATCCAATGTAGTTCTATATTCATCATTAAAAATTCATGTTGGGAAATCAGTTTTCATGTAATTCTTCACACAACTTATACATTTCTCTTTGTGATGTTTAAATAAAAGTTAGTAGTTTGCTTTCATATCTGTAGCCAGTGTTGATATTTTATATATTTTCTTTCTGTTTACATTCAGTTGCTTCAAATAGTTTTGCTGGTAAGTTCATTTTCTTTTAATTTTTCTCACATATCATTTTGGGATATTTTCAAAGTCTGTTTTTTCTTGTTTTTATCTTGACAGTATCTTCAATTTCTTCTTCAATTGTTATATAATCATTGTTAAATTTTTACAAAATTATCTGACATCACTGAATAATATCTTCTCTTTTGGGGTTATATTTTTCTTATGATGCAAACTTCATATATATATCTGAAATTAAAAAAGTAAATATCTTAAAGATGTTACAAACAGACAAAGGTGTTACTCAAGTGAAGAAAGAGCAACACACACGTAGATGAAAAAAATTTATTATAAAAGAGAATACACTACTGAAAGACAGGGAATTGGTTAGCAAGCTAATAATCCCTGAAGCATGTTGCCAGGTATAACCTGTGATCACTACATATATCTACTGATATAGTCAGTCTACATTAGGCGATAGGGAGAGTGGGACATTCCATTACAACAATATCAATAATGGAATTATGTATATTTACATCCAGTATGATAAACAACACTCTAGTTGAATAATAAAACCTCACACCATGTAACTGTTCCTTCTCTTGTGGAACACTCTTCCTGCTTCTTGCTTCCCAGTAAACTTTGATTTTCAAAAGTTTTTATTATTGGTTCAGAATAATCAATTTCAATTATTTATCTTTCAAATATTTTTAACAAAAAAAATAATACATTCATACATATAGAATTACTTGTACCTCCTGACAAGTGGACAGAGTCATTCCCAGAGGGTCAGTCTATGAAACTCTGGAGATGGTATGCTGAAGGTTACATCTATCAGCTAAGAGACAAATCTTTTACTTGTATTAATTCTCTCTCTCACTCTCTGTATATATATATATATATATATATATATATATGTATAATAATGGACTCTCCCGCCGGTTTCGACGTATGAGGATCTGCCAGCTTATTAATTCAGTTATGAAATATAGAATCATACATATAGAATTACTTGTACCTCCTGACAAGTGGACAGAGTCATTCCCAGAGGGTCAGTCTATGAAACTCTGGAGATGGTATGCTGAAGGTTACATCTATCAGCTAAGAGACAAATCTTTTACTTGTATTAATTCTCTCTCTCACTCTCTGTATATATATATATATATATATATATATATGTATAATAATGGACTCTCCCGCTGGTTTCGACGTATGAGGATCTGCCAGCTTATTGATTCAGTTATGAAAGTTCATGCGATAAGCTTAAGTGGCATTTAAGACCCGCTAGTGATTTACAAAGGAGGCCACATATGGAGCAGGTGTGAGAATTGTGAGATGAGATCACTGTTAGATTAGCTGACCTTTTAGATCTTGCTCTCGCTTCTTGAAGATGATTCAGACAAGCAGATTGAAAATTGCTGAGTCCACTAAAACACGTTGATCTCCATTCTACCTGCTCCAAAGCTAAGCGCTCAAGGGTGTTATGTGGTATATTAACTGCTGACAAGTTGCTTTTCAGCTTGTCTTTGTATCTTAGCGATGGGCGTCCTACATTCCTGTAGCCCTGATCTAACTGGCTGTACATTAGGATCTTGGGTATCCTGTCATCAGACATTCTCAAGACATGACCAGTCCAACGTAACTGAGATTGTATGAGAAAAGTTTCAATTCCTCCAATATTACACTTATAAACAGGTCTGTGTTAGATGTCCTATCTCGAAGCTTAACTCCACAGATTGCACACTTTTATGGAAAACATCTAGCTGGAGTATATGGTACCTATATATATATATATATATATATATATATATATATATATATATATATATATATATATATGGTTGTTGCTAACTCATGTCTGAGTACAACCATTACTACATATCTTTTTGAAGAATATCTACTAATGTGCTGAACGAATGTGGCTCTTTAGCCCAGCAAGGGACCTACAGACTATGGCACAAATGGGACACTTAAGAGGTGAATCAGTGGGTATTATATAATCATGCAATTTAAAATGTTGCATGAAACCACTTCTGGATCCGCATGTCTTACTACAAATATCATATTTCAGTTACTGGGCATCTATAGCTTTATAGTCAATTGCCACCCTCCATTGGTGCACTCTCAAGTGATTCCTTAGACCAGCCATCAACAAACACACTCTACTACAATCTGTACACATCAGATCAAGCTGCTTGTGGGTGTTTTCAGTAAGTTCAATTGGGCCACCTTTACGCACATCTCTTTTAAGCTTTGCATACCTCCTCTTCTCCTCAAAGTGACACCTTTCACTCAGAGCAGCCTCATTCCAATTATTGCAATCAGATGCACATTCTTCCCAGTGCTCACAAGGAATGTTGCATTTCTTCAGCACATCTTTGATGCAGTCCTTAAAGCACATCTTAGGTTTGATAACATTTCTCTTCTCTGTTCACAGCTCACCATAAGACAATACAGGTGCCATCCATTCTGACAAGGTGACTCACCCACCAAAGTTGATGTGTTAGTATCAAGGACTTAATACTATCACAGTCACTCCTCTCTAGCACATCTACATCACTAACAAACATTTGCCAGGTAATGTCAAGGATAAGCAGTACTAGTGGAATCTCTCAAGCCTTTTCATTTGTCTGCAGTAAACCACCCACATCTCGCAAGCATAATATATATATATATATATATATATATATATATATATATATATATATGTAATGTTCATGTCTATTTTTAATCAATCTGAACAATTATATTTTTAGTCATTTCTCTGAATACAGGTATTTGTGAAAATGGATTTAACAAATGGCAAATGACCTAACATTAAGTTGCATGGCATATGCCAAAGGTGACCATTCTCATTTCAGTTTCAGACATTTCAAGATGGCAGCTTCCAATCTGATATAGACAATGAAAAAGCATCTTATATTCATGACACTAGGCAAAAACTGCAACAACCAGCTTTTTGAAAATGATTGCAGAGAATAAAAGATACAACAGGTGGTTCTGAACAGATGGTTCATGCTATCCATGACAGTACTGGAGGGAAGGGTCAAGAGTAATGAAGGCCATATGACACCGACCCATGTTTTCCTGCAGTCTCAATGTCAGTGCCATTGATACTGGTTAAGATAGTTGCTGTATGTGTTGCAGCAGCATTCTACTTTTCCCACATGTCCTATAAGACACAGGAGTGTCTGGCTGAGAGTTTTCACCATCACCCCCACAATGGCAATA